TACTAGTGTGAAGGACTTATCTAAGGCTACACAGTATTCAGAAGCAGGAGACTTGGAACTTACGTCTTTAATAATAGCTCTAAACCAGTAGTAATTTCTCAGCAGTGCAGTAATGTTGGGAAATTGATTTTGGCATGTATACAGATTTATGCATGCCAAAGTATATATGCATACATGCTGTGTGCTGTGTGAGTCAGGAGCTGGTTGTGTTGAAAAAATGGGGAGACAGGCATGGCCTGTCATTTCAGCTCTTGCCCTTATGATAAAATCCACCTAATTAGAGCACAGGAAGAGAGAGAATGTCCACTCTCTTCTCATATTTCCTTATAGTCCTTAGAACATCCCTAAATGATGTGTGAAGTAGGTGTATCTTGTAATGTCGCATGTAGTTCAGCTCAGGGGCCATTAGCCCTACTTTCAAGGCACAGATCAAAATGGCTGTGGATGCATCACTTGTCTTTATTTAAGGCTCTCCAGCTGTTGGCTTTCTTGTGGCAAACAATACAGGTGCTATTCACTGCATAATGTAATACCCAGATGTTTTTTTGAAGTTATACACTTACTGCTCTTTGTGTTCAGCTAGTTTCAGAATCAAACTTCTGTTTGTGGTTTTCGTGTGTGATCACGCTGAAGTTTATGGCTGGAACAAGACTTCACTGAAAGGGTGAACGTCCGCTGCCTCGCTGAGCCCTGATAAATACTATTTGCCCTGAATTAACTTCTGTTTAGTTCTTTTGATAAGTGCAAACAGGTTAAACCTTGTAAGTGCCTATTTAGTACTCTAATTCCTTGCAATTTTCTGCCATGTTGTGCTTGCTTAAAGTAGCTGTTTAGCTCTTAGAAGGTCAGCTCACCTTTTCTTTATGCATTCTCAGTGACAAAAAAAGCTGGTAACCTTACAAGCTTTAGTTTGACATGGTGGTTTTGTTACCTTATATGTAGCAGATGTGCATTAAGGATGTTTAGGCTAAAGAGGAGTATTTTCTGTATTGTGCTGAGGCCAGTTAAAGTACAATTGATCGTTTTCTCATCTCCTTAGGTGCCCTGTTCCTTCTGCCAATTCTCTGTCTGATAAATCAAGGGACCACACAGATGATGATGATGAATACAAAATTCCTTCTTCACATCCTGTAATATTGAGCTCACAGCCACCTCATACTCATAACATAATTCCTCTTGCTCGGTAAGGTCTTTTAGCAGCCTTGAAGGCAACTTTATTTAAAAAAAACTCTGGTTTTTTCCAGAATTTAACTGGATTCAGCATTGATGGTTAAACTTGCCTGCCTTCTAAAATTTCTTGTCTTTTCAAGCTTCAATTGTGCCTCTGTTTCATTTGACCACTGCCACAGTCATAAACCTGTGAAGTTTGCTTTATTGTATCTCTGTTGTGTCAGATCTGGGTACTTTTTGCTTTTGAATACCATTTCTGCAGTTGATCCTTTTTTCCCTTGGATTGAGGTTTTCAGAACTGACCAGGAGATTCAACCCCCACAACTCCTGCAAATTTAATTTTTAGGAGAATTGTGTGACTGAAATTCCCACAGGCAGCTTTTAAAATCTTAAACTTTCACATCCTATATAATTCATTTTAAGAAGCAATACAGTACTGAAAAATATGTGAATTGGCAGCTCTATATATCTACTTCTATTCTCTTTTTGTCCCATGTGTACTATGTCTTTTTGGCTTTTTGAGCCTGTTTCACAATATATTTTCCTTGTGCTTCTCAGGAAGAGAACATTTTTCTTTTAATTCAGCTGGAATACATACCTTTTGTTTAAATATGTTCTAAAATAATACCTCCAGACTGTCACAATTCTAAGTTATTAATGGATTATGGCAAGGAATTTGGAGCCAATGGACATGGCAACTGAAGGCTGTGTCATTCCTGGTGAACTTCTTGGTCTTTGACTCATTAAAAAAAAAAGAATGTCTGGAATTAAGAAAATAAGTCTTGGGAAAAACAAGGGCCAATTCTCTACTGGTCAAAAGTGTGATGCTAAAATCAAGTATTGATCTAAAAACTTCAGGCTCTTCTGATATTAAAAAAATGCAGTAACGTATTGCTATTTTTCCCTCTTTCTGTCAGAATGTGATGTCAAGAACCCACTATTAATAAAGTTCACCATGTCTCTCATCCCAAAATTAGTCAGTTACAATTTTTAGACCTCTTTAATCAGTCACTTAGAACAGGTGGAAAAAAGGTCGTAGTCTGATCACTCCTTGCATGCAGTTTGAAAATTCTGTCTTTATTAGAAATGCTGATCTGACCTTTACTGCCTAGATGTGAATATTACACAGTTGTTTGAGCTTTACGGTCTTGGGTAGTTCAGTCTCATATGGTAGATTGGAATTAAAAAAAAATAAAAATCAGTTATGTCTAAAACTTTTAATGTTGGCCAAGCAGAAAAATTGGAAAGAAAAAAAAATTCTAAGATCCTAATTCTTTTTACCCATTCCATTTTTTTTTTTTAATCTGAGCATGTTGTGCTTCTGCATGTGAATGTCTTTTTGTACCATGCAAAGTCATCTAATAGAGGTTGAGTTGCATGGCAAGTTACAGAGGAGGTAACCTCTCTTAGACAAGTAGAAGTCTGCCACAGAAGAGAGCAGTATCTGGGCAGATTGCCCTAGTTTAGCAGCTTCTGAGGGCTATGTAAGTAGTGTCATGCAATAGGAGTGGGCCTGTAGTGGGGACCAATTGATTCAAAGGACCCCACATCCACACTGTGCTTTTTGGGAAATTTTGGATTCAGGCTACCCCTAACATGGTCCTGTGGCTGGAGTACCCTATAGCAACTGCAGGACATTGGATGAGCTCCTGCACGATATCTTTTGAGTTAACTTTATCCAGAAGCAATTGATTCTGCACGCCCCGAGACCTCTCTGCAATGTAAACTAAAGTGCTGTAAGTGGGGATGACTTGTGGAGATTTCTCTCAGTTCATACTCCTGACCTGAACTAAATTCCTGATATCTAAATGCACCCTGAAAGATTCTTGAGAAAATAACCAGCTGGAAAACTAGAAACCTCTCATTTTCTGGTATCCTTCTTTTGCAGAAATAAAGAGTTGAGTGCTTTCAATTTGCTGGTACAGGGTTTCACCAGGCCTTTGGAATTAGTAATAGAGGCTGTAGATGGAAAGCTGATTTCAAAGTTTTTTCTAGTTTTTAGTTTATTTTTTAGTTAGTGTACTTGGTCATGTGCTTATGGTGGGTGTTTTGGCATTAATCCAGGACTTACTACTGTGAAAATACCTCAGTTTGTCAGTCAGGTTGCTCTATGATTAAAACCACCAACTTACCTTACTATATATTCTGATAAGACTTTTAACTCTGAACAAACCACTCTCCTTTCTCCACTTTTACTGTCATGGGGAGGAGAGTGTCACTAAAAGCTTAACTTTTCAGTGTTGTTTAGCAAAACTGTTAACAACAATTTTTATTATTTTTTCTTTATTTTACATACATTTCTGGCACCTTTCAGTTCAGTTCAGTCCTCCAGTGTCACCTTCTCTTATCTCTTTCCTAGGTGTTGCTTGATCAGTTCTTGGATAGTACTTAGAGGATTCAATAAACTAAAGAGCCTACAAAATTTCTTCTGAACATTTTGCAATTTAGGAACTATGTCACTCTTCCATCCTACCCCTGAATTTCTATTGCCTTTAGGACTTTCACTCTTTTATCAGTAGCTATGACAATGCTCAAAATATTGCAGGTATACTACAAAAAAATATTCACAGTCTAATTTTCTGACAGATCAGTTAATTGTTGGTTTCCATACAGGTAATCATCTCTTCGCAGGTGTGGGGCAAGTTCAGCAATAAGAAATGTGGGCAAAAAATTTCATCAATACTAGTTAGGCTACTATTAGAAGAATGATATGTTATTATATTCACTGTCTTTTCCTAGTAAAGCTTTTCCCAAAAGGAAAACAAAAGGACAGAAAGCTTGCTTGTTAGTACTCATTTGCTGCCTTTTTTTCCTGGTGTTTGCTGTTGATGTAAACAGCTATTTCAGCATGATTTGTAAACCGATCATGTAACTGGGCTCATTATGACCTGAAGTTTTCTGAAGTGGTGCCATGTTAAGTTATCTTAGTGCCTGTGGCTAGTTAGATAGTTGAAAATGCAGCACAGATTCAAATTAAAGTAGAAAAGATTCTTATTTTATGTATATGCTGAGGAGTCAAAGGAAGCATTGCATCCACTGCATTTGAGAGACTGAACCAATCTCATTTCAAAGATAGAAGCAACACTTCCTCTACCACTTCCTTGGGGAAATTAATTCATGACAAAATAGTTCTTACCATTAGGGTTCTTGTTTTGTTTTGTTTTTTAAGTCTTGTAATTATTTTTACATTGATTTCATTATTCCTAGTTGTAACTCTTGGGACCAGAAACACAATTTCACTTCCTTTTTCCTGTTTATATATTTTAAATGACTCCAGACCTTTATTCATCTCTCCTTTCCATATGGCCAAAGCTGATAAGTTTATTAATGCTTGTACTATTGGTAAAAACCCAAGATCTGAAATTTTAGCTGTATATAGCTCTAGCAGATTTGCCAGTGTTTAGTAATAATGGTGCATGGTGGGTTGGGATCTTTATTTTGAAGCTGGAATTGTTTAGTGTGATGGCCTTTTTCCAAAAAGACTCTGGTTCTTTCTGAATATGCATGGCCCACAGTTCCAATGACAGGAGTAATTTCCAGTTCTTTCAGATTTATTTAAGCAATATTTAATATTATGAAAAGGCTTTTGTTCTACCCTGCAGTATTTGAGCAGAATCATCTTACAAAAGTAAGCTCCAATATCCTTCTGACAAGATGATAGGCAACTTTGTACTGTTTGGTTTAGATGGTGTTCATATTTAATTTGATACTGTTGTTTAACTGTGGTAGAGGTATCAGTGGGACTCAGCTTTTTGATACAGAAATGAATAGGCGCCTGCAAAACTGCTTTGGCTAGTTCAGTTTCTGGGGTTTTTTCAATGTTTAGCTAAGAGTTTAGTTGAAAATTGTTGTTGCTAGTGGTGTGTTATAGTGTTCTGTTTGGGGCTTTTTTTGCTGTTGTTTTGTTTTGTTTAATGACTTTTCTCTGTACTTCAGTGTGGATAATTGCCAAAATCCACCTGTCTCTTTACCATATTTCTGCCAGGGAAAATGCAACAGCTGGGAAGGCGAAGTAGGGTTGAGTCTGTAACTTAACTGTGTGAATAATCTAATGACCTGCACTCTGTAGGGAGAACTATGTTTAATGTTAGTTCTTCCTTTATCTTGTATTGCAGCCTTGAGTAAGTTGTTTAAGCCATGTCAGTATCCCACCAAGAAAGCAGTATAATCCTCCAATGGAGTGTTATTGATGGTTAACCAGTATCTGCTCTCAATATTAAAATGTAAAGTTTAAAATTGGTGCAACTTCTAGTCTTCCATTCATTTTCATATAATGGACTGCCTGCTCAGGTGCTTTGTCTATCTGGGAATTAATATTTGGATAACTGCTTGATTGTTTCCTGTGTAATGTCTGTCTTCAGGGTGTGTGAGAATGGCCAATGCGCTGGAGTAACAAATGGGACCCACAGTACTTCATCTGAGATGAAAAAATCAAAGCATCCGGAATTAGGTATGTTTTCACTTTTCACTACTTAGCAAGACGATTTACTCTATGCTGTTCTAGGTGTACAGCAAGAAAACATTCACTTCTTGTGATTGTGTCATTCAGGAGATGTCTATGATGCACCTACTGTTCCGGTACCTTTGCCACCTGCACGGCCTCCTACCAGAGACAACCCAAAACACAGCTCTTTGCTCAACAGGACACCCTCCGATTATGATCTTCTGGTGCCCCCTTTAGGTTGCAGACTTTTTACTGATTACATTTAATGGTTAACATTGCCTAGATGAACCAAATGCCATGTTTATGGAAAAACAACCAGTGTTGAGTATGTTAAGAGTACCAAACAAACTATGGGCTAAATGTTACAGCTGTAAGTCAATATTTGTGTCAGTGATCTGTACTTGGTATCTGTCTGTAAGCCCTCATGCAAGACAGATGAAAAGGCATACTAAATCTGCATTCAAGCTATAAAGCAAAGCAAAACCGTTTTCCCTAAAATAAATTACATTTTTTTTATCCCTTAATATGAAGTTTGCTCAGTACAATTTAACGCAGGTGCGGAGGATTTTTCCTATTGTGGCTTAAATAATTCAGTTTCTCTTATCAAATCCAAAGAAGAATGCCAAAGAGGTGGTATTTAAGTCAAAGAAAACTAAACTAATAAATCTGTTTCTGGGTTTGTTTTTTTTCCACTATCAAGGAACAGTCCAAAACTCACTGCTGCCTACAATCACCAAAAGCTATCTTTTCCATTCCTGATTTCTGTTCTGTTCTCCTACGCAAGTCATTGAGCTCTGCCACCACCTACACCTTCATTGACAAACTCAGCTGCATGATTGTTAGACTGTAGTATATGTATCATCATCCAATTTTCTGATTCAGTAAAACATTTTGAACATTGCAATGTTCCTGCACTGTACTCTCTCTGGTCCCTGAAGTGTTCCTGAGTTGTGAGAGTACATAGAATTGAAGGCAGAAAAACACATAATAATCACACTGCTTGGTAACCCTAGTCTTGTCTGCTCCACCTTTGTGTAAGGGGTGCATTCTTTTGCCAAACCCTAGAAAATCCGATTTATATCTGGGGTCAGAGCTTCAGAACACCAGATAAAGATAATACACGATATAAACGTAGCAGATTCAATGTAGTCAGCGTTGGTGTTTGAATATAAATGTTTTTGCTTAGCCACTGAAACATAGCTTTTATTCTACAATGATATTCGGTGAAAGCTTTCATTATAATACACTCTTCAGAACTGAACCACTAAAAGAAATCTCTCCTCTCATCCCAGAAAAGAAACTGAGCACTGCAAAAGGTCATTCAAAGCATGTTTTAGAAAAGGATTGTGCATAGTGAGAGTCAGGTTTACAGTTTCATTACTGGAGTCACTGAACTGCTAGATGAACCTCAGCAGCCAGAGAACAATAAATTTTAAGCTTCACTCTTTATTCTGCACTTCTTAATGAAGTTTTGTTCATCTAATAATTCTTTTCTAAAATGCAGGCGAAGATGCGTTTGATAGCTCACCCCCTTCACTACCACCACCGCCACCACCTGCTCGGCACAGCATGATTGAGCACTCAAAACCTGCTGGCTCAGGAAGCCGACCTTCTTCAGGACATGAGCTGTTCCTTCATTCTGGTAGGAAAATGAAGAAAAGAACATACTGTATTTAGTTTTCCTTAACTTCAGGAGCTTATTTGTTCTGTGATAAAGTTGTCATCAGGCTTCAGAAATCAGTTTTGTCTACACTTTGTTACAGAAGATCGTAAAAAATAGGGTTTTTTTAATGGTGGAGATGAAACAACTCGGAGTATAAAAAGACTTAACTTTTCATTATCACGAATTAATGAAATAAAGTCACTATTTCTATACCAGGCTCAATATTTTGGTAAATTATACTTTTCTAGTAAGAGTAGTTACCTGTGAAGTGCCGAGTTTTCTGTTGTGATCTGTAATACTAGTCTATATCCTTCAACTCCATTATTTTCTGTAATAAACATAATTCATGGGATTTATTTTCAGATTGGAAGTTGGGGAAAAACTGGAAAATAATCTAAAAGAACATCCTGCTTCGTAAGAACTGTTGTAAAATTTTGCTACAAAACTGCATTGATTATGAGCACAGTTGCAGGCGCCTGTGTTTCATAACCTTTTTGATGAGTCAATTTTTCACCTATCTCTCCCCATGAATCACTGTGACACTTTTTCAGTCCAGTATTTTGCTTGTAAAAGATATAAAAGCTATGCTCACAATTTACGAATTTTGTCTGAGTTGACAAATGTTTGGTTGTCAGGCTCATTAAATTGAATACATTTGCTGCTGATTGTACAGATTACAACAGGATTTTTGTGTGTTATAGTGCATACGCGTGAAGTGACTTTTTTCTCTGTGTAGGCACCCAAAGGATGTTGGTGTTTACCTGTCCCAGGAATATTTTCAGGGATTGTCTACCATGTGGTGTGGTTAGAAGTCTTCCTCCTCCCATCTGTTTCTTTAGAATCTGCACAGAGAGGGAGGAATGCAGTGTTTCAGTGATTTTATCACAGGAATG